GGGGTCATGCATGCATGTGAAAGGGTTACTCATGCATGCACAGGATGGCTCGCACATGCACAGGGGGCTGAGCAGGTGGGTGGGCGTGCACACAGTTTTGGGGCAGCTTTAGAATAAGGTTAGCCACCACTGTTCTAGGACTACCAGGTCTTGGCCCCCCCTTGTAGCGCTTTAATAAGTATTTATTAAAAATAAACTGCCTCAGGTGACATGGTTCTTGAATTCTGGTCTAATCAGCCTGAGTTCATAATCTAGCAAATATTTCATTAGATATTTACGAGCACAGCAGTCATTGACAGATCATCTCTACCCACCAGCATGAGTTTCAAATGATTGGGATTTTTGCCCAGGGCCTATAAAATTGCAATTGTGTCACTGCTTAAATTTTGTTCTTCTCAACAATAGCAACAACAAAATATTCAACTAGATAGATAGACAGATTCAACTAGATCCGTGTCATCATCATCATCTAGTTTGTTATAACTCTTTTTGAAAGAACAGTATAAGAAAACTGTTCTCTATGTTCAGAATGGTTTGCTGCTTATTAGATGTCATGTAACCATGGAAGTTAAAGACAGTAGAAGAATTCTTCATCATTGTGTGGAGCGTTGCTGTAATTAGTTATTGATTCACTTTGCTTTTTTTTTTTAACATTACCCACTTGATAAAATCAGTGACAAAATAGTATTATTGATCTGAAATTCACTCAGAATTTTCCTCTAAGAAACTAGCAAAGACTGTGGATGAGACAGAAGATGACACATGAATTTAAATGTTTTTATTTTATACACTATACATATGCTTGCCAAGTCTTTCTTAATTGACAGTAAGTTCTGTATTAGATATGATATCTTTCAGAAGTGGTAGTCAGCGGGTTCTGACCAGTTCTGGGGAACAGGTAGTGGAAATTTTGATTAGTTCGGAGAACTGGTAAATACCACCTCTGAGTGGCTCCGCCCGCATCTATTCTCTGCCTCCCAAGTCCCAGCTGATCGGAAGGAAATGGGGATTTTGCAGTAACCTTCTCCTGGAGTAGGGTGGGATTGGATATTTTACAGTATCCTTCCCTGCCATGCCACACCCACCAAGCCATGCCACGCCCACCCAGCCACGCCCACATAACCGGTAGTAAAAAAAATGAATCTCACCACTGGAATTTTTCCTCCCCATAAGGGCTCTGGTTATACTATACTCTGGTATAGTAGAAATGCCTGTTAAGTTGTTCTGACCCTTCTTAAGTATACACTGTACACTGCAGAATATCATATTCTGCAACTATGGGGTCTTTGATGCTCTTTGAGTTGGTTGTCTATCGAGATTCTAAATCATCCAGGTGAAGATCATGTGATGTATTAATACCACTTTATAATGCCTTGGTAAGGCCACACTTGGAATACTGCATCCAGCTTTGGTTGCCATGATGTAAAAAAGATGTTGAACTTTAGAAAGAGTGCAGAAAAGAGCAACAGAGAAGATTAGGGGGCTGGAGGCTAAAATGAAGAATGGTTACTGGAATTGGGTACATTGAGTTTAATGAAAAGAAGGACTCAGGATGACATGATAGCAGTGTTTGAATATTGCAGGGGTTGCCACAAAGAAGAAGTCAATCTATTCTCCAAAGCACCTGAGGACAGGACAAGCGGCAATGGATGGAAACTAATCAAGGGAAGAAGCAACTTAGAACTAAGGAGAAATTTNACTTCATCTTTACAGGCTTCGGCTATTTGCTGATATTCTGCCTTAGTTATGTCCCCCTCTTTCCACTTTTTATACTTAACATTATTGTCTTTCAATTTGTCAGAGCGTTCATTAGGCAGCCATGCAGGTTTCTTTTGGGAGCTGTTATTTTTCTTCTTTATTGGTATTGTGCTAGACTGAGATTTTGTAATCTCATTTTTCAAAATTTCCCAAGCTTCTCCTTCCCCTTGAGGATTCTCATCCATGGAATTCTTCCCAAGCTCTTCCCAAGCTCTCTCTAAATTTATTGAAATTAGTTGTCTTACAATCTAAGACTCAAGTTTGACTTTGTTCTACTACTTGTATTTGCATAATGTTGAATTCCAATATTGCATAGTCACCTGCACCCAGGGTTCTTCAGGTTTCTGGTGCTCTGGCACATGTGTGCGCACATGCACGCACATTCCAATTTGGGCACTTGGTGCCAAAAAGGTTCACTTTCATTGATCTATATTGTCTCTCTGTGTGCTGGGTATACATAGTATCAACATTCAGCAAATGGATATTGGACTGCAGCTACCTCTTAAGTTAGAGCTTAGCAATGAAGAAAAACTACTTAAGTGGATTTCTATAAACAGCCAGAGTTGAAAAGGTGGAGCAAGCTTATTAAAATTAAATCTATTTTAATTATGAATGTATTGATTAGAATATACAGTGCACTGTAGTTCAAACTAAGATTTTCAGTACTCCTAATTTATTCTTTCTGATTTGTTATTTTAAATTCTTTTTTTATTACTTTTATATTTCAGTTTCAAAACTATACAAGGTGTGTCTGTGTGTTTGTGTGTTAACCATAGCAACAACTGAAAAGATTTCTGTTCCTTCCAATCAGGATGCTGAAATAAGGACAGCTTGGAGCTGAGGTATCAAACATAGATGCTTGTATGAAAATCCTGTAACTGAGTTCTCGGAACTGGTACTGAAAGCCAAAGTCGGATCTAAGAATAAGCTCTATACCAATATCCTTCATTATGGCTAAGTTTTAAGGATGTGAGTACACCATTGAATCATTGTACAAATGCTTGGTTCCAGCTAGTAATCCTCAGAGATTCCCCCTCTTTATTTAGATATATAAAATTAATGCACCTGATCATTTTTGTATTCTTTAATTGAATTAAGTTAGACCGTTTTAATCCATATATTTGAAATTATGGCTTCCACAATCCCCTTATCATTACCCATGCTGATTAAGCTGATAATATTTGAAATCCAAACACCTGGAAGTCATCTCTTTTTCCTTCCTTTTGCATCTGTAGAGAAGTTAGTCATTTACAGTAATGATTGTTAATGTTAGCATCCAATTAATCTCTCATTATCATACAGGTAGGTAGCAAAATCATAGCTGAGAACAAAGGTAGCAAGATTCAAAGCAGCCATTACCATCTATTATACCGGTCTCCCATGAAAGTGATTGAAGAAAAACCAATGTTTTTTTTCCTTCAGACAAGAAATGCTGACTCGATTACAACACAGTAAATCTAAGGTAGTATTAATAAAGCCCAGTGTCATTGCTCACAGGACAGCCTACAGTGAAACAATCCATATCATAGTTTAAAATGATATAATCAACGCATTAGGCTGAGATAAATGTAGGTTTTTCCATACATTATGCTGAAACTGCAACAAATACCCATTCTACTATACACGTGTATTTTATCTATTCTAGTAGATTGTTCAAAACAGCTGGTTTGGTTTAGTGGTTAAAGCATCAGGCTACAAACTATAAGTTCTAGTCATGACTTAGGCACAAACTAGTTGGGTGATTCCTGGGCCAGTCATTTTCTGTCAGCCCTAGGAGGAATGCCAAACCACTTCTGAAAAAAAAAAACTTGTCAAGAAAGCTGGAATTCATCCAGGCAATGACCAACAGTAAAAAAAACTGACTAGAAGGAGATTTCTCTCTCACACACTGTTTCTCATATCTGTCTATCAAATACAAGCAGCATGAAGCTGAGTCCTCGCCCAATAAAGCCTTTTTATTTAATTTACACGGAATTCCTCTCCAATAATGTCCCTGCCTTTCAAGTTAGTTCATAATTACTGACGTCTATCAGGTTTGGAGAGTGGCCAGGCTGATGTCTTTCAGACCCTTGGCAAGAATACAGGAATCAACTAATTGTGTCCTGCAAACACCCCTCCCCTTTCACTCCTCTTTTATTCCCTATGGGACAGGCCATTCAGTGGCCACCTGTGGATTTACTCCCAAGTCGACCCTTATTCCTTAGTTGTTCCCTTCATCTGGCAACTCTGGAAACAGGCTCCAGTTGTTCGTCTGCCTCACTGATGTCTGACTCCGAAGGCAGCTAATAACTGTCAGATGGCCCTGGCCCCATCTCTGCCTCTGACCCAGAGCACTCTTCAAAGCCTTCCCCAGACTCCAGGAC